ACAGACAAACAGACATTCGGCTTTATATATAAGATTACTTATTTGTGCTGAATGACGTTCCTGTCTATGCACTTTATGTTATATTTTCAGTCAATGTTAGCATCACAAGTGCCTCAAATACTTGCGGCTGTATTCGAATGCACGCTAGAGATGATCAACAAGGATATGGAGGTACGTTTTTGTCTCCTCGGATATCTTACAGCCCCTTTTTTTCTTTTTTCTATATCTTTCTACTTCTAGGCGTTCCCAGAGCATCGCACAAACTTCTTCCAACTTATTCATGCACTAACTGTGGAATGTTTCCCTGTTTTCCTTGCGTTGCCTCAGGAACAACTCAGTTACATCATCGATGCTGTGGTATGGGCATTCCAGCACTCAATGCGAAACGTTGCTGAAATTGGTAAGTTTATTCAATCTGCTATAAGTTTCTTTTGCAAAATTCATCTGGTTTGCTAGATTTATAAATTACAAGTTGCAAATCTCTTATTTTACAGGTCTCGATATCCTGAAGGATATGTTAGATCGAGTAGAACATCTTCCACGTGATCAGTCACAACCGTTTTATAAACGATTCTACATGCAAATTCTCCAACATGTGCTAGCAGTTGTCGCGGATAGCAGTCAAGTCCATGTAGCTGGTGAGTCCTTTCATTTTTATATTTTTTATGTTACTTTCTAAAAAATAAGTTTTTGATGGGTTTTCTGGCCTAAGTGGCTGGTTATTGGTAATTTTTGATCTGATTTAGCGCTTTTTCTTCACTTGCAAATGTTTAATTGTTGCGAAGCGGTATTGGAAAGAAGGACAAATCTTATTTTTGTGATTGAAGATCTCCCTTCCAGGCTTGACTTACTATGCCGAAGTCCTATGTAGGCTGTTCAAAGCATGTGAATTCCTGATCACTGTGCCTCTCAACGATGAGAATCCCAAACAAAGCAACGTTGACTACATCTATGAGTACATCGCTAGCATATTTGTACAGCATTTCACTAATCTTACAGAGTGAGTTGATTTGATAATTTCATTCCGAGTTTTTTGGTGCCCTATAAAGGCAGTGTCCGAACAGATTTAGGAGCACTTTTACAGATTAAAGCGGGCTTCCCGTGAAGGCCATGGCTCAGTTGCGAAAACATTGCTTCTTGAGCGAGAAAATTTCTTTGGAGTTCAAACATAGACTCCCCCTACTCAGCCTCGTTTACCTAAGGAGGAGTCGTGCTGGGACAAGGCCGTTACAGCGTTGTCATTGGTTGCAGCGGCTTCTTGCAGGACGTTTTCCTGCTTCGGTAAACGAGACATCCAGGGGCTCTATGTTAGACTTCTGGAACGATTTTTTCGCTCAAGAAGCAGTATTTTGGTTGCAAGCAGGCAGTGGTTTGCATGGGAGCCCGTTTTAGTAGGTTGGTACAGCGCTCCCAAATATAGTTACTACCCAGATACTGCCTTCGAAATCCTACTTTTACATCTAGTCTTACGGAAATT